TCTAGCATTTCACCCTAGTATATCAAGTAACATCAGGTCCAGGATTTGGAACATTTCTTCCCCTGTGGTCTGGTGAGGCAGCTGTACCATGGGGAAGTGATCAATAAGCCTGCAACAGACTCCATAGACAGATCATGTTCCCCTGACTAAGAGACCCTCATGAAGACCTAGCGCCTAGCTGCCCATTGGCTATAAATATCTGGGGGGCCTATGTCCAGTCCATGCATGGTCCTTGGTACTTCGGTATCTGCAAGCTCCTCTAGGCCCTGGTTTATTTGCTTGGTTGGTCTTCTTATGAAGCTCCTATTCCCTCAAAGTTCTACTATCCTTTCCACCCTATCCCCATTCTTCCACTCAATTCCCTGTATCCACCCAATGTTTGGCTGTGGGTCTCAGCATCTGTTTCAATTCAGTGGAGCCTCTCAGATGACAACTATGTTAGGCTTTTATCTGGATTCACAGTAGAGCATCATTAATAAATGTCAGGGCTTGGATTTCTCCAATGAGGTGAGTCTCAGGTTGGGCCAGGCATTGGTTGGATATTTCCTCAATCTCTACTATATTTTTATCCCTGCACCTCTTGTAGGCAGAATAAATTTTGGGTCAAAGTTTTTGTGGGTGGATTGGTGTTTCCCTCCCTCCACTAGGAGTCCAGTCTAGTTAGAGGGTGGCCTCTTCAGTGTCCTTGACCCCTCCTGCTATGAGTCTCAGCTAGAGTCATTGCCCCATCCACCCAGGAGCCTACACTGTCCTTGCTCTCCAGCTTGTCATACAGATGGCCCCTCCCATGGTTTCTCCTCTCTGCCAGCCCACATTCTTCCACCTCCACTCTCCTCAGGTCTGATCGCTGCCCTCATTACACTTGAGTATTGAGTACCCTGTCTTACCATGTTCCCTTTCTTCAACAATTTCTGCTGTCTATTCTATTTCCCCTTCTGAGTGAGATTTAAGTGTCCTCTCTTACCCAACTCCTTTTACCTATCTTCTTTGGGGCTGTGAATTATAGAGTGTTTTTTTTTTTTATAGTGTATGGCTAACATTTGCTTGTAAGTGAGAACATACCATTGTGTGTCTTTCTAGGTTTGAGTTGCCTCACTCAGGATGATCTTTCCTAGTTCCATCCATTTGCCTGCAAATTTCATGACCTCCTTGTTTTTAAAAGCCGAGTAGTATTCTGTTGTGTAAATGTGCCATAATTTCTTTATCCATTCTTCAATTGATGGACCTCTATGTTGTTTACAGTTTCTGGTTATTATGAATAAAGCTTCAATGAACATAGTTGAACAAATATCCTTGTTGTATGATGGGGCATTTTATGGATATATGCCCAGTAGCAGTATAGCTAGGTCTTGAGATAGAGCTATTCCCAATTTTCTGAGAAAACACCAGATTGATTTCCAAAGTGGTTGTACAAGTTTATACTCCCACCAGCAATGGAGGAAAGTTCCCCTTTCTCCACATCCTCACCACCATGTGTTGTCACTTGAGTTTTTGATCTTAGCCATTCTGATGGGTGTGAGGAGAAAACTCAGGGTCATTTTTATTTGCATCTCCCTTATGACTAAGCATTTCCTTAAATTGAGCATTTTTTAAGTCTTTCTCTGTCATTCATCATTCTTCTGTTGAAAATTCACTGTTTAGCTTTGAACCCCATTTTTTAAATTGTATTACTTGGTTTGTTGTTGTTTAATTTCTTGAGTTTTTTTTATATATTCTGGATAGAAGCCCTCTGTCAGATGTAGGGTTGGTGAAAAGCTTTTCCCAGTCTGTAGGCTGATGTTTTGTTCTGATGACAGTGTCCTTTGCTTTACAGAAGCTTTTCAGTTTCCAATTTATTAACTGTAGATCTTAGAGCATGAGGTGTTGGGTTTCAGTTAAGGAAACTGTCTCCTATGGCAATGAGGTTAAGGCTGATCCTCACTTTCTCTTTTGTTATTGGTTTTATTTTGATGTTTTTGATACACTTGGACTTGAGTTTTGTGCAGGGTGATAAATACACATTTTCTTTATGTCAACATACAGTTAGAGCAATACCATTTGTTGAAGATATTTTCTTTTTTCCATTGTATGGTTTTGGCTTCTTTGTCAAAAATCAAGTGTCCTTGAGGGGAACAAGGACTATTTCTACCAGGAACTCAATGACTGGCTCTTTGACCTCCTCACCCTCCAAGGGAGAAGCAGTCCTGTTAGGCCACAGAGGAGGGCTTCGAAGCCAGTCCTGAAGATACCTGATAAAACAGGATCAGATGAATGGGGAGGAGGTCCCCCCCTATCAGTGGACTTGGAAAGGGGCACCGCACAGTGGAGATGAGGGAGGGAGGGTGTGATTGGGAGGGAATGAGGGAGCGGTACATGGCTGGGATACAGAGTTAATAAAATGTAACTGATAAGAAAAAAATAAAATTAAATAATTAAAAAAAACATTTCAATTACAAAAAAAAAAAAAAATCAAGTGTCCTTAGGTGAGTGTGGTACTTTTTCACAATAATGCCTTACTGTTAATGTGGAGGCTAAGCCCTAGCATTAGAAATAGCCTGTGATATTTGGGGGACTCTATGAGAATAATTTGAAAAAGTATAGCCAATTACTTGTACTTCAATGCCCCATATTATATGGTCACTCCCTATAACTTTTTATATATGCATATTTTTCAGAGAGTATCTAAAGTAGTATGTGTTAAAAAGCCTTATGTGATCTTTTTCTAGTTCCACCCATTTGCTAGCAAATTTCTTGATTTCCTTATTTTTAATTTCTGAGTAGTATTCCATTGTGTAAATGCACCACAATTTCTATAGCCATTTCTTGTTTGAGGGGCATCTTAGTTGTTTCCAGATTTTGGCTATTATGAATAAAGCTGCTATGAACATAGCTGAGCAAATGTCCTTGTTGTACGGTTAAGCATCTGTAGGGCAGTCTCTGGCATGAACTCAGTTGCCTGCACTTTGATCACTTTCCCCTGGTGTGTTGACCTTATTAGGCCACATAGAAAGTGGATCCAGACATTCCTGATGAGACCTGATAGACTAGGGTCAGATAGTAGGGGAGAAGGACCTTCTCTATCAGTGGACTAGAGGAGGAGCATAGGGAGGAAAGAATGAGGGAGGGAGGATGGGACAAGAAGGATATGAGGGAGGAGCCTACAGCCTTGATACAAAGTGAATAAATTTTAATTAATAATAATAATTTTAAAAGGTCTCCCCATGTTCTCTTCTCCACATTGTCCTCCCATTCTATTTCCTCTTCCTGATAAGATCCCTTCCCTCATTCTCACTCCTAAATGGTACCTGTTAGTATTCTAAATAAAACATACACATCTAAAACATGAAATCTATCATCACATATAAGAGAAAAGTGCAATGTTTACCTTTCTGGATCTGGAAAAATGTGTCACAGAGCTCAAGCTGGCCTTGATTTACTCTGCAGCCAGAGATGATCATGAATTTTTGATCTGCCTATGTCCACTTACCAAGTTCTGGGAGCACCAGTATGTTTAATTCTATACATAATTTTCAACAGCATATTACAGGATCATGGTTAAGATCTTCTATTTTCTTTTTTCTGATCCAACCAAGGACAATCATGCATATAACCTAGAACCCCTCCTCAGATGTAATGAATGGCAGCTCAGTATCCAAGTAGGTTCCCTAATAAGGGGAAAAAGGACTGTCTCTGACATGAACTTAGTGGCGGGCTGGGCTCTTTGACCAACCCCCCGAGGGGGGAGCAGCCTTTCAAGGCCACAGAGGAGGACATTGCAGTCAGTCCTGATGAGACCTGATAAGCTAGAGTTAGATGGAAGGGGAGGAGGACCTCCCCTATCAGTGGACTTGGAGAGGGAAATGGGAGGAGATGAGGTAGAGACGGTGGGATTGGGAGGGAGTGAGGGAGGAGGCTACAGCTGGGATACAAAGTGAATAAGCTGTAATTAATATTAAAAGAGAGTTCTGTAAGTAGACACATATTTATATAAATCATTTTTCATAGCAATGAAATAAAACTTAAATGTTTAACTTTTTTCTGTAAACAGAAAAGCATTATTTGTGCCCTTATTCAAAGAACATAAAATATAGTGTTCTTGGAAGAAACTATAAAAGCAAGCTCATTCCTGGGTAGGAATGAATAATACCAGTCCTTCATGACAGATGTTGAAGGATGCAGAGAGTTTGATATTTCTGTCTATGCTCTGGGCATCCCATTAGCAAGATTATACTTACCATGTAGTTGCTAATATATGTCTAGCCTCATAATCACTTTACTGCAAGGAATACCATCAGTTAAGAAATCTTAACGTTATTGGGGCATGGGGCCCTGAAATTATGAATGACAATGACAGTGCATAATATTTTTATAACCCAAGTTTTTGCAACAAGGTGGTATTTTATTGACATCAAACAGCAAAAAAAAGATGCCCAATATACACACAGTATGACATGCCATTGAAAGTTGCCTGCTAATAATGGCCACCTTAACTTACTTATTTAAATCTAGAGATAATTTCCCCAAATTACCTAGAAGTGGAGAGCACTGTTTTCCCATTCTCCATCCTCAGTGTAGAATTGTTTACTGGTGTAATTCTGTACTCTAACCATTTCCTTTAGTGTCTTCCTGCTTACTATTTCATTAATTATCCAATACTCCAATTATGTCTTTTAGATAAAATCAGTTTCTTCAAAGAAATAAGATTTTTTAATTTAATTTAATTTTATTAATTATACTTTATTCCCAAATAAGATTTTGATTGGCTTTTTAATATAAAAATCCATCATTCTGTACAACGAATATACAATAACAAAAAGTCTCGAAAGCCGGCTTGCTTTAGTTATCTAATTATATTTTTGGTTATTGTGTTTTTGTGCCTTGTTTTCTTCAATGAACACTGACACTACCACAGAAAAATGAACATTGATACTAGAAAGCGTTTGTAAAATCTCTGTTATCCAATCTTCAGTTGTAAAACTCTGTTTTCCTTGAAATAGTTAACACTCATTGTCTTTTCTCAGGTTCTCCATATAGAGACAAAATCACCATAGCAATTCTTCAGCTGCAAGAGGAAGGCAAGCTGCACATGATGAAGGAGAAGTGGTGGCGTGGCAATGGCTGCCCAGAGGAGGAGAGCAAGGAGGCCAGTGCTCTGGGGGTTCAGAATATTGGTGGTATCTTCATTGTCCTGGCAGCCGGCTTGGTGCTCTCAGTTTTTGTGGCAGTGGGAGAGTTTTTATACAAATCCAAAAAAAACGCTCAATTGGAAAAGGTAAATGTCACATTTTTGCAATTTAAGACACTTATCTTTCTTATGATAAAACACAAGTGATGCATTTTCTGTTATTTCCAACCAACAGAAATGCTTTGACCTGTGGCTGTTAATTGTCTCATATCATTCATTCTATAACTAAGATATTTGTGAAATATATCGTGTGAGATATATTTCACAAAGACTCATGATCATCATCATAATTTTAATATTATCGATAAAATGTTTAATTGTCAGTTGCAGGACAAATAGATCGCTCTATCCTTTTTAGGAGTAAATAAGGAGAATAATTTTTTTCTTAAATGATATTGCTGTAAGATTAATTGGAGGATATACTGAGAGAAGAAAAATCAGAAATTGTATTATCAAAATAAGAATACTCTGCCAAAAACAAGACCAAGTTTTAATATAGCAATTTGAAGCTAGATAGTAAATAAAATTTACATTATAAGAACATTATAAGAACTACTCTTATAATGTTTGTTAGGACATCTTAGTTTGCATTATGAACACTATTACTAATTTTCTAATTTAGTAAATATATGCAAATATTCTAGTTTTGCTGCTGCTTATTTTTCTTAATGAGTCCTTTACTTACTATATTCAAAGACATTATAAAATATGTATAATCACAAGAGTGTTAATATAAATTTTCTTTGTACTTTAATTTAGTCACTTGTACAAGTGCTTTTGTATTCTAGTCTTAAAAAGTTTGTGATCACTTAGGATCTATATTTCTAGTGCTATACTTTTTTTTGTTTCTATAAGTATTAGGGAAAACATGAAAATAACAGATAGCACTCATCACCTCTGTATGTACATTTATATTTCTGGAATTGAAATGAACAGCATTCTTCTCTATCTTCCAGTGCTTTATTTAGTTTTCTGTATATAATCATCTTGGTTTTCTGTTTTTAATATAAGTATATTTTTTAGATCTTTCCTAAATGTATAAGAATGAGGTTGTCTCTTTAGTATTGGAAAAGTTTATGAAATTTTGTTGTTAAAATACAAAGCAGAAAGTGATATTTAAAAATATAGTAGCAAACAGTAAAATATATAAAACACATTCTGCTAATATTCTCTGAAATACATATACCAGAAATTATTTTTGTAAAAATATAGTTGACAAATATCTTCCTTTGGTTTGAGTGATGTATGTTTTAAATGTTGACTACTCTTGAGCCTAAAATTTGAATAAATAATGTTTTAAAATTTTAATTGATTATAGTACTTGATACCTTTTTAGTCATCTTTTACAATTAAATATTTTGATAAGCCTATTTGATCATAACCATGTGTAAGTTTTGAAATTTTTAGAAATTTGTAGAAATTATGTGCTTACAGACTTTAAGGCTGGCAATTTCTGGTAACATGGCTCAGCCAAATTCTGTTATGTTATTCTAAGTTGGTTACGTATAAGTGCACTATTGGTACTATGGTCCTTTCTGTGGTATGAAAATGGTTTTGAAAGCAAATCAAAATGACTAACCAAAAAAAAAATCATCAAATAATATTTTTCCATAATTTGCCAATAACTGATATTTGTTTCCTTTAAAATTAACCCCATATTTATGAAAGGATATTGAGTTTTCTAGTGAGAATGTCTAACAATCTATATGTAATGATTCTCTTAAGTCTATCTTAACATTAAAATAAAACAAATTGAATATAGACACTGTTGGTATTGTATTGTCATTATCTCTAGATGTTTCTTCATTTGATTTACCTGAGCTGTGTTCTTAATAATTAAAAAGAAATCATCATTTTATTAAAACTTAAGGGGTGTGGTTATTTAATATTGAAAATAAATCTATGTAGTTGTTATCACCGCTAACTGATTCACCCAGTCTCAGAAATCTGTGGCCTTATTTTTTTAAAAAATATGAAGTATATTGACATTATGCTGGGGAAATAAATGTACTTATAGTAAAAGCAGATTTGGCCATGATCACCTATTCTCACACAGAATCTACACTAAGTCTATAATGAACCCAAGTTTCCTCACTCTGCCTAAGAGCCTGCAGCATGCATCCCTGGCCATAGCTGCAGGATTTCAGCTTCTCTCAATTTTGTTCACCCTCTGGCCACGTTAAATTATCCTTGGCTTGCCAGAGTCAAACTTTTTATGTTGACTGGAGAAACTGTTGTCTTTTGTTCTTCTTCGAATATTTCCATCAGGTATTTTAGATCAGCTGTTAGATTAGACATTATGTTGTCCAGAAAGGTTTCCTCACCATAAAAGATACAGTTCTGGTCACTTGGCATAAGCTTGTTTCTGCACGCTAGAGCTGTGTTGTGATACCTATGGTAATGGAAAAGAGTGTGATCTGTATATTGTTTTATGCTTAGGTAGCTGTACGTTTTTCTATGTTTTAAAGTTAAGCAAAAAGCAGAAAAGATAAAAATAAAAAATGAACCTGAAAAATGTAGACTTTAATAATTTTGAAATTATAAATTATATTTTCAGATAACTACTGAGTGGTACAACGTTTAAAGTAACACATTTAATATAGATATAAATAATAATTTTTAATTTATCTTAATTTTTGAGATAAATAAACCATTTTTTATATTTCAATATTGATTTGACCATTTAGAATGATAAAAATGTTTCATCTGTCTGAAAAAATAATTTATAAGTTGGTTTATTTTATAATTAATTTAATTTTGCCTTAATTTTGAATACATATATATATATGTAGTTTGAGAAACTTTTGATCATCTCCAGCAATTTCCATTTGTTTTAAGGCCATGAATCTTTCCTTAAAAAGACCCTCATAGCTAACGGAAGATGTTTAACAAACAGAATGATGATTCTCAGAGCTGAAGAATATTTCAGTAGTTAAGATTATTTGTTGCTCTTCAAGAAAACCTGGGTTCAATTCCCAACACCTACATGGTGGCTCACTATGATCTATAACTCTGTTCTAAGAGCTCCAAGAACTTCTTCTATTCTTCATGGGCACCAAACATGTAGGGCACAGACATACATACAGAGAAAAACACCCATACACATAAAAAGTACATAAACAAGAAATGAAGGGATTTTGATTCCCTTTTAACTATGATGACTGGTTTTGTGAACAGGTTTCCAAAACATTAATTTTTATTAAATTATTTCTAATATAATAATGTTTATTAACTCATACATAAAATCACTTTTTAACTATTATGACTTTGCCTTTCTTTAAAGTGAAGACACAATTATGTCTTACTTAGCTTTCCAGCAAGAATAATATAATAACCATTTGATATTTATTTTGCTTATATATAGGAATATTTTCTTTATTGTGAAATTAATATAAAAATTTCTGTACATATTGGTTTATGGTATAGTTTGTATATAAATTACTGAATTCCTTGAAATAAACATATAAAATGGTTCTCAAAATGCTAACTTTATCATTTTTAGCATAAAATAATGTATTTGAAAATTAAAACTAAAAATGAATGTGCAGTTATTAAAATTATAATATATGTATTCTAGCCTGAATATATGCATCCTTTAACTTTTCACTAACATGTTTAGAGTAAGCAATATCACAGAACTATGAGAGAAAACTGTTCCAGTCATAGTCGACTCAAGTCAATGTATGTGTTGCTAATAGACAACACTGGCGAGGCTCAAACAAGAAATTTCTGTTGTATTTTTCTGGGAACTCAAAGAAAAATGTTTGTGTATGCGTAAAAAGTTTATTTATAGCTATAGTGCATAAATATCAGATTGCTGTAAATATAAGGAGTAGAGGCACAAGAAAATTCAGCTGCTTAGTTTGATGACTGGTAAGGGGAAATCAGAGTTATTTAGTCTAAATTTGCAGGACAGAAGATCTTGAGTTTTTAAAATAAAACATTTTAAGCTGAGTGAATTGCATTTGGTAGTAATCAAAAGGTAAAAACAGGCTCATCTCATATCCTTTTACAAAAATTACTTTCAGAATTTTGTAAACTCGATGTGACAGAAGTAATGCTTTTTAAAACAATTTATATATTGATAAAAGTCTATCGATACAGTTTAAGAAAGTATTCACAGAGATTTTATTCCAGCATTTGCATTTTACAAGTGATACCTAAATAAAATACAGGCATCTACACTTTTAATCAGCTACATTTGTTGGAAGTTATTCAACTGCATGTAAATTTTTAAAAGTTAAAAGTTCTAGGATGATGTTCAATGGAAGACATTTTAACTGTGAAATATATGGTTCTATAGAACTGAAGCTAAAAATTGTGAGTAAAACTGAGTAAGTGGTCCATTTGGTATCATTTTTTTTTTTTTTTTTTTTTTTTT